ACTTTAGTAGAAGCATTTAATATATGGCATATGAATTACATAAGCTCAGAAGGACAAAGTGCAATTACTTTGTAGGTGATGAAGAGTAACTAGCAATTATATATGCCACAAAGATGTAGCAACACTATTTGTTGGAAAAGTTAGTAATTGTTCGGACTAACCATTGGCCCTTATTACATAATTTCCATCTTGAAAATATGAAATTACAACATCATCATTGAGAAGAACAATTGCAATTCTTTGATATTTAGCTTGAATACAAGCAAAGACAATAACACACTATATCGGACATCTTATCGCAGAGACCAAAATTGAAGTCCAAATTGGAAGACAATGCAAAAGTTGCTACCATTATTAGTATCATTTCAAACTTGATTAGAGGAATGAAATAGAAAGAAGCTATACATTGGCATGCTTATTTTAAGATGGTTATTGATTAGTTGAAGGTATGCAATATACAATATCAAAATTATTATCTTAATGATAGCTTCGTATATTTCAAGAATCATTTTAATTATACCATGGATCTCATGTTTGCTGCAAATGCTTCCCAATTACACCATAGTTGTTGTCTTTGTAGACCAACTGTCAAAGCAACTTCACTTAGATGTAATGCCCTTTGATATTAATACTTTAGTATTTGTATGGATTTTCTTCGACATGGCCTTTTGTTACGATGGATTATGCCATGTCATCATTTCAAATGAGGATCAGTCCTTCATAAGGAGTTTCTAGCAAACTTTATTCAAGCTATTAGATATACAACTTATTATATCCACAACCTTCCATCTTCAAATAAATAGACAAATAAAGTATATAAATCAAATCTTAGAGAATATGTTCCAAATATTTATGGCCGTTCACCATAATGCTTGAAATGAATATTTAATACCCTTAGAGTTTGCTTATAATGATAGTATTCAAGCAAATACCAGTCATTCATCATTCTTCTTTAATTCCAATCAGCATTTGATTATGCTAATAACTCTCTATTGTCTCATTAATACCAACATTTCAACAACAAAGGAATTTATATAATAGCTTATAATAGCTTTATAGGAGATACATCATTACTTTTTTATTATATAAAATTGACAAAATTAATATGTGGGTAACTATTGTTGTCGTGATGTAATACAATTATATGGTGAAAATATGATCAAAAATAAAATTTTAATTAATATCTAATTATCTTGATTTAATAATAATTCAAGATATTTAAACATGGCTTCTATAAAAGCCTCTTACTTTATTTTCTTGTCTTAATAGTTAATAGATTAAAGGTTGTGTAGTAATTTTACCTTTTAGGCTATAAAGACTTTTTTTGTAATAAGGTATAGATAAGATAATTTTATAGATAGTTAGAACCATAGAAGTTTTTAGAATTGGAGTTAGATTAGTGGACCAGATAGGATTGATCGTGGAACATTCTAAAAAGAGTTTAGGACAATTATTTAGATGCGGCTTACCCTGTAAACTTCTAGAAAAGGCTTAAGGTGGTTATTTAGGTAAGACCCACTATCTAAGAACATTCTAAAAAAAGAATTTAATGTAATTATTTAGATAGAATCCACCACCTATGAACATTCTAGAAAGTCTAGGGTGGTAGGACAAGACATAATTAGGACTAGCCACGATCTTTTGAGGCATCTAGTCAAGTATGGCTTCGGACCTTTCTCTTAGTAAAGTTTGGTTCTGCATCTTTTTGTTTAGATATGTTCTATTCTATTTTATTTTAATTTACTCAATTTTTTCTTTGATGTCCTATTTTATTCAATTCCATTCAATTTTGTTCTATTTTATTTTGCCTTATTTTGTGATGAAGCTTTATGTTACTGTAGATTAGAAGAATCTCAGATTTTTGAAATAATCTAGTCCTATTTCACTTTTATTGCCTTAAAAAGACCATAAATGGATAAAATTATATTAAAATAAATAAATAATTAGCATAGGTGTTACTAAGATTAAATTGAAGGTAATATTGGAATAAAAAATCCTTAGAATAGGCTAAATTGATAATTAGGGGTTGATCGTTTGTGAAATAGGATTGAAATCAAACCTCTAGCCAGTAAAATGACAACCTAAGACAAAATAAAGAGGCATTCAAAAATTGGCAATTAAAATTTGAGAGCTACCTTAAAGCTTATTCCAAAGATATAAGGCTTATTTTTTTAGGATTTTTTGAGACTTAGTAATTAATGTTCAAAGTCAAAGATTGTATTGACAACTCAAGCTTTATGCAGTACAATTAGGGCTAGCACTCTTAACTAGTTTTTGAAATTAGTATCACATCTATAGTTCAAAATTTGTTAGTACTTGGTTTATTGGGTGTATTAAGTGTATGTGAAAATTTGTGAAAATCTAACGATGTGGTTGAGAGATATCTAGGTTTTGGTACAAGAAGATATCAGAAGTTGGTAGTTTGAGGTTGGATAGGGTTTCTATGATATCTAAAGATCTACTAGTCATATAAGGATGAAATTTGGCATGGTATTAGAAGACTTAAAGATCAAGCTACATACCAATTTTGAATTGAAGTTAATTGTTGGAAAAAGAGAAATCACCACTAGAACATTTGCATCAACTTTCAAGTTGGAGACCAAGTAATATCAATGTGGTTTTTAGATGTTTTTTCATGATTTGTAAGTTAAATTGAATTAAATTCTTTTTTAGCACATAGGAGACTTATAGTAGCATTTGTATGCAAATAATTTAATATTGAACCTAGGCGCTTCTTGGATCAACACTAACTACCACCATTGGTTGTGATTGATGATCAATAGGAATATGAAATGGGTAGCATTTTGGAGCACCGCTACCTTTGTCGTGGAAATGGATGTCTCCAATTTCATTATGAAGTCTTCTAGAAAGGTTATTCCATCCATGATGCAATGTAGGAACTTATATAAAACCTCTACTATTTTTAAAAGATAATTTGGACATCCAATGGGAATAAAACAAAGATGTTGTACATTAGCAAAGAAGGATTAATTGTAATGGAGCATTCATATTGTTGATGCATAGAAATAGGTAGTTAGAATCATTTGTTAGAAGTTTTTTGAAGTTTTTAGAATTGAGGCTAGATTGGTGGTTTATATGGAATCCACCATAAAACATTCAGAAAGACTTGGAGTAATTATCTAGGTAGAATCCACCTCTAAAACCTTCTACAAGAGATGGTTATTATGGTAGGATCCATCATTAGGTATATTCTAGAAAGTTCCAAGATAGTTGGACAAAATATAAATAGGACTAGCAAAGGCTATTCAGGCATTCAATGAAGTATGGCTTTGGTTTCTTTCTCTCAATAAAGTTTGGTTTGTATTTTTTTGTTTTGTTCTATTCTATTCTCTTTTACTTTGTTCTGTCTTTTATTGTTCCGTTTTGTTTTGTTTTGGTCTATTCCACCATATGTTGAGATGGAATTTATGTTGCTATAGATTGGAAGGATTTTAGATCTTAGATAGAGTTTAATCTCATTTCAAAAATATTGTAATATCAAAAGTTACCATAAATTAATTATATTATAATTAATTAAGCAATATTTTATTACATATAAATCTTTTTAAGGTTATAAATTTTACCTTTTTAATATTTATAAAATTTTATCAAATTTAATATTTATGTATTATTACTATTTTAATTTTAAAAATTAATTAAAATATGAACAAATAATTTATCTAAAAAATGATTAATTTGAAAATGAATGTATATATCTATTGTATAAGGCAGCTAAGACATAACACAAAGAGACAAAAAGTCTTTTAATTGGCTTTGAAGAAGAGGATGGAAGGAACATGGAAACAAGGAAACCAAGGAACTGAGAGAGCATGGATGAATGTGCTAATACATTGCCCAATTGCACATGTTTCTCCATATATATATATATATATATATTATGTTATGTTTTAATTTTTAATCTTAATAAATATTAAAGAGAAGTAAAATATCTTTTATGCAAGCTTTGGGATTCACCGGCACTGTACCCAATCAGCAATGTCACGATAGATTCTGTCATGGAACATTCCAAACTTTCAATTCTGGGGATTCCTGCAGGGAGGTGATACTGAATCCGGGAGCCAGTTGTCTTCCTTTTTCAGTCTTGACACCGTTTTGCAGCTGCACGTCTGTGCTCGGCGGCCATATCCAGCAAGCTGTCATTTATAGTTTGTTGGAAACGCAGCCAACGTATGGAACAAATTAGAACGTAAATAGTAGTCGGGACATTCCACTGACTGGGTTTCGTTCTTAAGCGGGTTTTTCATGATAGCCTCTGATTATATCACATTTGTAGAGCATTGTGCAGGTTAAACCCGACAACTTCGGTCCTGGCGGCTCTCACAAGCCCAGTCCATGTATGAGACGAAATAACCTGAAAAGGTTTCAAGGTGCTCACTTCGCATCTTTACCTTGAGGTTGTCTCGGTTAAGAGCTCTTGCTAGAAAATTGAGATGAACTTTTATATATATATATATATATATGTGTGTGTGTGTGTGTGTTTTGGTGTGTGTATATATATATATACAACCCAAAGAAAGGTGAAGATTCGCGCTGCAAGCTCTTCTACTTTAGTTCTTGCCTGAATGTCAAGACCTAGAGTTGCTAATCCCCTCCGATTACATTCAGAGATGATCCCTGAGAATGTAATGCAGGTGTGCGTAAAAAGGCACATGCAATTCGTGACGCTTAATAGGCATGATATGGCGCCAGGCGCCATGCCGTCGTCGACGCAGGGCTCTAGTAGGTCGACATTATGTTTCTTCACTGCAATGATGAAATCCCGAGTACCAGGGATTCACAGGCCAGCAATCGCAGGTTTCCTGCGACCAAGATCTATTGGGAGGAATAATGGTTGGGGTGGGTACTCCTCGGATTTCGCAGGACAGCCAATTGCTCTTCGCAAGAAATAAAAAAATAGATTCAGTAACCAAGCTCAGATAACGGCGTAGACCACAACTTGTAGACGATGGCAGTGGACAAGTAACGATCCGTAGGGAGAATGAGACAGATGTAGCACCCGTTGATAATCGCATGCAACCAATTTATTCCAGAAAAATAAATCTTTTGATGTAATTCTCTGATTTGGAGATCTATAAGCAGACTAAAATTTTAGCAAACTATCTGAAAACTATCCACAATACAAGCTCGCTGGGACTTTGATTGAGCTGCATCTGCATTAAAAGAGATCTTACACCTAACTCTAAACCCTGTAACGCCTGACGCTTCACCAGAACTTGATAAAAACGTTTTCAACTGTGCAAACCTGAGCCAGTGACTTTGGAGAAGAAACTACCGATGCTCGATTTTCCGCCTCTAATAACCATCAATCTCAAAATAGAGTCTACCTCGATGCCGTACTCAAAGAGCGTCTTGTTGTCCTCGAGCTCAACGTCACCGAAGAGCAATTTCTGCTTGTGAATTGCAATCCCTTCCTTGATGTGCACCTTCTTCTTGACATCCTCCACTGTATGAAAGCTCTTCAAATCAATCACAAGAGACTTTCCGGCCACAGTCTTGACAAAGAAATGGAAAGAGCTTCCACAGCATTCGAAACAAGGGCAGTCATGAAGGTGTTTCTGCCGACGCAGGAGGAAGAAAGAGTCGCCCCGATTGACATTGAGTTCGCCTAGAGTTGAATCGTCCGGCAAATCTGCATTGTTCATGTCTCTATTGAAGAACCCGTATCCGTATCGCAACTTTAGCCGCTGATGGTATGGTGGAATTCCCTCCACCTGGTGCAGCATCGCCTTCACGTCGCGAATTGTGTCTTGCTTGCGAACCTCCAGGGTGACAGTCCTGTCGAGAATGACGATGCAGACCATCACTGGCATGAGTCCAACGGGCTCCATAGGTACCATCCGCAAGACGCTGTCCTTGGCAATGTTGTACTCAGTCAAGCTTTTGCCATTGAGAAGCTCCTCGTCGTTGTAAATTAAACGCTGTCTTACAGCAGGGGTCCCTTCTTCTTCTTGCATCGAAGACTTGACGCTGAAGACCGATCCATTCCGGCTCACTAAGACAGGAATTGTCTCATCCCTGGGTGTGGTCACGTAAATGCGCATGGTGTGGAACGTCTGGTCAGCAGACAATGCCCGACAGGCCATGCACTTGCACCACCACATTTGCAATGTGGAGGTGTTGTCAATTTGATAATCCTCCAACGCTCTGTCATCCTTGAGCAGACGATCCCCGTAGGACAGGCGTTGCAAGTTGGATGCGATAATTTCGCTACCCTCGATGGCTTTCTTGACAGCAGCAACGGTGTTCTTAGGGCTGGCGTCGATCTGAATGGATCGCACCGCGTCACTTTGCCAGTCCCTGGCCTCGATCAACATTCCTGCGGTGAAGTAGACAGGCTTCTCTTCCTCCACAATTGGACAAGCTTCTGCAGCTGCAAAGCATAAAACCACACGAACAGTTCGAGAGCAGCAACGAGATCAAAATTCTAATGCTGTAGCTTGGCACCTTTAGAGTCCACAAGCCAGCACAACAACCTGAGCTGCTAACCTTTTTTCTGTCGTGAAGAAGAAATGTGCACACATATGAAGACAAACATCACAACAGAGTCACGGCTACACCGAGAGCTCCCTTCATCACACCTTTTACAGAGGCCATGGTTACACATGACTGCTGAGTATCCTCCAACTGGTACGAGTATTGCACCGCCTCTGCTTCGCCATTACGAGCGTAAATAACGATCACCTAATCTACTTCAGCAAACCATGCTCATTCAGAAACCGCCCCCTCTGAACTCAACAGCGGAAGAGAAATTTGCAAGTGAGGCCCCGCTGGCCGTCAGTCATGGCTCACTGACCAATTTAGTGGTCTATGTAAAGACGAAGTCAGGGTGCTTGTACCCTGATGATTTAAAAATCGACGCTAGTTGGGCTTGCATTCACTCTCTTCATGCGCGCCCCTAAAGACCATTCTCCGATTTCACGACAATTCATACGGCGGGCAGTACATACCTGCGATCGACAACTGTGTCGAACTCCTGCCCTTCCACAGACTGTTGCAGCTCACTATGCAAAGCGGTCCGCGTTCTTCGGAGCGCTTGGCACCCACATCTTTACCACGCCACACCGTCTATATGACCACCACTTCCTCCTTCAGAGATCGCCGGTTCCACATCCCGAGTTCAGTCGATCCACCTTCCTCGGCGATCAGAATCTCCCCTTGGCCCCAATTCAACACATATCCCCCCGCCAACCTCAAAATGAAAATCCACTACAATTGATCGTCCAACCCTCATCGCCTACGCTCATGAGACGATTTCTCAGTTAAGTCCCTGCTCAGTCTCTTCTGCTAGCTCCAAAACTTAACCACAGACACTGGCGCACAGACAGACAACGCATGGCCGTCCGACGACGTCCTCTTACACTGTTGACAGTTGCTCATGGCTCATGTCCCAGGAATCGTTGCCCACCACTGTTCCCGCGTTCAGCGCATGAAACCACGTCCCTGTGCTGGTCACCAACTGTCTCGCGGCGCGAGAGTCCCCCACTCCCGTCACGCTGGCACGAAATCGGCCCCCAGCACTCCACCTCAGTTCCAGGTTTAGAGCCCTCGCCCGCGATTCTACACAAACTTTCGGGTGTTATTTTGTTTAGCCATTCATTCTGTCGTTCCTTCAGGTTCACTCGCTCAACCCACCTCAATCGTGGGAGCAATCTTTCAAGTCAATGGAATCGCTTGTCCTTTTGGTTTTGGGCTTTTATAAACGCCCGTACGGGAGCGTCAGAGGCACCTACTTCAATTGCGAAAAATAGGACTCACAATTCGCACTGCGATGAGCTTTGTCCTCGAGCCTGTGGGTGCGCTTCGATTTCATTACCTATTTTCTTGCAAGTTGGATAGAATCCAACTCGGATTTACCTCTTATGCGTGGCAGGCGTTGTGTGGGAATTTGATCAAGTGAAAGTCCACGACGGTAAATAGTGGTGTGAGAGGCTGCGACACGGGAGTGCCTTGAGGTGGGGCTTGGCAGCCAGAGGGCAAGAGCCATCCAGGCCAAAAATGGGAAAAGGGAACAAGTCGCATTTTATTGGACCGTGCGGCAGAGTTCGAGGGAGCGGGGCTCCAAAAGCAGGTTCATCTCAAATTTGTCCCATGCCTTTGAGCACTGCCTCGAGATGCAAATGCTTTCAGTGTAGGTGCCAGTTACAGTGTCGCTCCAGTGTCGCTCGGAACATTGCTGTACCGGTTCCATCATGATCTGCTTTAGGGTAAGTGCGGCTTCGAACCCGCACTTATTTCCAGTTCATTATTCAGTATTACTGGTAAGCAGTATATTATAAAAATAAATAAATAAAAAAACGATAGTTACATTAATCGATACACACCAACTCTCAGTTTCAGTATCAATCACAGCAATTGAACAAAGTCAAGACAATCTCCAACTGTCGGCTCTATTCTTCAGACTGTTATTTGTCTTGAAGACCTGCGCGTTAGTTCTCCAAAGAAGGTGCGAAACACAAACCAGATAAAATTGCGACTAAACTCAAAGCCTTCTCAGTGCTCAAATCGTGAATGGCAAGCGTCTCACAAACATCCTCAATGGACAGTGCTAATCATAAGGGGGGATAAATAGCGGCGAATATAGCGGGCAATCTATCTGAGTCCATCTGTGCCAAGTAAGCAACACCCAAAACCTACCAACTACCCCTAGCATAGTCAATCCTACCCGTATGGAATATATTCCTCTAGATTTGTACAAGTTCCCCAATAGAAAATTATATATTTATATATAAGAAATCCACGATTCTCCGGAGAACTTGAATAGAACGCGAATAGAAGGGGACGATATGGCACGAAAAAACTTCCGATGCGATATGGAACAGGTGGCACGCATCCAACCGCTGTCTCTCATGCCAGAGCATCGGGCTGCGTTCCCGATGTTGGGATTGCCGCGAAGCTTGCCTGGAATAGTTCCCACGACAGGTTTTGCAGTTGGTTCCCCCGGCGAATGAGAATAATGCTGAGCACTGAGCTAGCCGAATATAGACCACCTAGATGGATGTATTCTGTTTGAATGGATGGATAGATTGTGTGGAATCTCTGACGTGCTGGTAACCCTTGACTGTATTGGAATCACGTGGAACTTGGGATCATCATGGGAACGTCCAATGAGGTCTTTCGTTCCCATGGTTTCAATTGGCACATTGGTATTCTCTTTGTTGAGATCATGAAATATAGCCGGTGCTCTCCATAATATTTATTGTAGAATACAGTAAATACCATAGCTATAATATTTAGAGTCTAGTGGAGAAGTATTGTTTATCCTCTCCCCTTTTTCTCTTCTTGTATACAAGTCACAACCAAATCAACAGATTTTTATGTGTGAAGCTCTTTCTCCTTAGAAACCCTCTTGTGTGTATGACTTACTACTACTCTTGTGTGTGTGTATGACTTATTACTACTCTTGTGTGTATGTATGACTTATTATTACTCTTGTGTCTTTCTAAACATTCTCAATACGTTATCAGCATGACTCTCTTTTACACACTATCACAATTTTTTTTGCTCTAGTCTTTGACTCTTCAAACTTGTTGCTACCTTTGCTCAATGTCTGCCTCATGATCTTGTTCTTCTTGTTGGCCCCTCACTTATTAGCTACTTGCTTAGAATACTTGTTCCACTTTCTACTCTACTTGCTTAGAATACTTGATCCAGCCCAACTCTACCCCAACTTACTCTCTACTCCCTGTTGCGTCTCGCGCCTGCCGCTGAGCAGCCTCCAAACCCGCCATTATCGCCACTGCCACCTTGTCGCCACTGATGCTACCGCCCGTCGTAGTTGCCACCTTAACGTTGCCGCCCGCCACTGCTCTCCGTTGTTGCCGCCCACCATTGCCCACTGCTACCACCTTGCCGCCTTACCACTATCCGCTGCCGCCATCTTATTGTTGTTCTGTTGCCTTAATCTACAACCTCCTTTATATATATATAGATAGATAGATAGATATATAGATATATATTGAAGTTCAAGTTTATCATTTTATTTGAATTTATATTTTAAGGTACGTTTTATTTTTCTACTTGATCTTGTATTTTCTTTACAGATTTATTTATAATGAGTGCTTCAACATCTTCAACTACTTCTACTATGGTTCCAACTATTACCATTGCATCCCAACATTTTCAAGCTCTTTTATTTCCACTATTGACTATGAATGGAAATAATTATCTATTATGGGCAATAATGGCAAAAGCAAATTTATTTACAGAACAACTCTTGAATGCCATTATGTTTGAAGAATCTCCTATAATAAGTATTTCTATACCTCCTACTATTCATTGGAAAGCACTTCTTCTCCTTCATCGTCAACTTGTATCTGCATTACAACATCAATATTTAGAAATGGAAGATCCTGTAGAACTTTGGAAGAATCTTAAATCTAAGTTTGATCATCAAAAGACCATTTTTCTTCCAGGTGCACGTCATAATTGGACACATTTACGTGTCTTGGATTTTCCAAATTTAAATGCTTTCAATAGTGAAATGTGTAGTATTATCTCACAACTATGATTATGTGGACAAAGCATTTCTAAAGAAAAATGATTGAAAAAACTCTCTCTATATTTCCTCCTGTATTTGTTGTGCTTGCACAACAATATAAGAACATGAAATTTTAGAGCCATTCTGATCTCATGTCCTATCTACTTCTTGCGGAGAAGCAAAATGAGCTACTCTTGCGCAATGCAAAAGCTCGTCCTATTGGAACTACAGTTCCAGAATCTCATATACTTAATATTTCAAAATCTAAGAAGAAATTATATAAACATGGAAAACGTGCTCATAAGTATCAGGGTAGTCATAATCAAGACCATTTCTACCCATATGGAAAGAATAAACGTTCTACTATTAATTATAGTAGAAAACAAAAATGAGAGATGCATTCTTGTCATAAGTGTGGAATGATTGGACATTTGGCATATGTGTATCATATTTCAAAATATTTTATTAAAATATTCTAAAAAAATAAGAAATTACGAGTTGAGGCTCGTGAAGTTCATACCATGGATGCGTCCATGGATTCAATTGTTGTCCATGAATTAGAGGCTTATATGAATGATAGAACCTCTAATGATGAATCAAATGATGCGTCTATTGATTCTGCAGCAATTCATATTATCTTGCGAGATAGATAATTTTTTATTAAAAAATCTTCAACTTGGCAAACTAAAAATATGATGACCATGGTTGGAGTAAATGTGTTTTGTTTCCAAGAGGGCACAGCGATGGTAAAATTACCTACAAGTTCCATTATAAAATGTAAACATGCGATGTTTCCACCCTCAGCACCTCGGAGTTTGATCAGCTACCGAGATGTGTGTATTAATGGTTATCACCTCTCGATTCCCACTTTAAATAGAAAAGAGGTTTTGGTTCTTGTGAAGAACTATAAAGTTGTTGAAAAAGCTTTTGCTACAGAAAATGGTTTATACCAAATTGTGATTCGACCTCCCATTATATTTAATTTTACATCATCTATCTCAGAGAGTCGTGTTTCTCTCTGGCATGGATGATTGGGACATCTAGGATCCACATTATTTAGAAAGATCATTCCATGTATAACTGGACACAATTTAAAGCCTGTAGACATAGACTCTATGGAATTATGTCATATATGCGTGCAAGGTAAAATGATTACTCGGCCTTCAATTTGAAAACTTCCACAAGAATTACCACCAATGCTTGAAAGATTGTATAGTGATATTTGTGGTCTCTTAATCCAATATCATGACCATTTTGTTATTTTTTAGTCCTTGTTGATGCATCAGGTAAACAATCACATGTTTCATTATTATGAACTCAAAACATAGTGTTTGTCAATCTTATATCTATGCTTATTTGATTTTGGGCACATTTTCTTGATTATCCCATAAAAACATTGCGTATAGATAATGCAAAAGAATTCACATCAAAGTCTTTTAAAGACTATTATACTACAACACGAATTGAGTTGACATATTGTGTTCTATATGAACATGCTCAAAATAGACTTGCAAAGTCATTTATAAAAGTGTATAAAACTCATTACCTGGCTACTCCTCTTTCACGTAAATCTACTTGCACATATGTGGGATCATGCATTTTTACATGCTGCAGCATTAATACGCCTCCGCCTTTCTTCTCTTGAAATTATTTCACCACTTGAGCTCATTTCGGGTCGTGCTCCAAATGTATCTTACTTACGAGTATTTGGTTGCCGTGTTTGGATTCCAGTACTAGAACTTCAACGACATATCATTGGAACTCATCGACAAGAAGGCATATATATATATTAGTTTTGATTCACCAAGCATTATTCGTATTGTTGATCCATTAACTAGCACATTATTATGTGCACATTTGTAAAATTGCCGTTTTGAAGAAAATGTATTCCCATCTCTTCAAGGAGGAGTATCCAATCAATAAAGAAATAAAGTACTCATATTTGAAGTACCACAAACATTTACAATGAATCCCAATCCTAAGACATCTTTAGCAGAAACTGAAGTTGCTAAGATTTTGCATCTAAAATGGATCGCAGATGAAACACCTGATGGCTTCAATGATGCGCTTAGAATTATAAAAGTTCCTATTAATGAGGCTCAGAATGCACCTGCTCAGATTGTAGTGCCATTGACTACAATACCTCAAGTTATAACAACAACAACCAAAAGAACTCGTGGACTAGATAAACAATCATGTAAGAAGAAAGCTATAAAATTGACTAATCCTGATATTATTTTTTAAGAAATTACCACACATCTTGCAAGACTATCA